GGGCGGGCTGGCCCCGAGCGCCGCTTCGCTGCCTCTCGTCTGCAGGAGGCTGGAGTTTCCCTTTTCCATTAAGCATTTATTTATCCAGCAACTGTCCTGAACTCCAAAGGAGTCCTGAGTTAACTGTAGATATAGATTTAGGCCTTTTTCTTTTTAATCATTTATTGTTGTTGTTATTATGTTTCTGAAGGAAGAAATCACTCCTTGGAGGCCCCAGCTCTGCAGTTAGCACTGGAGGCCCTATACATTTTCCAAAGCTGAACCTCTTTTACCTGGCAGCTGAGAACAAAAGCGTTCCCACTCCTTTTCCTTTTTCTTTTCCATTCCCATCACTTAGAAGAACCAAATGGCTTCTTCTGGAGCTGTTACTGCAGTTTTCATCCAAGAGCCAGCGGAGGAGACACAGGGCCGGCAGTGCCCGCGCTGCCTTTGGGGCTGCAGCTTGCAGGGGGCTGGAGCGGAGCCTCTGTGGGACCAGCGCTGCTCCCTGGTAATTAGTGCAATATCTGAGGGTGCTCCCTGCAGAAAACTGCAACAAGCTTTACTTTGTCTCCCCAGGCGCTGGTCCCCAGTGCTGGCCAAGGGGTGCAGGATGCTGCCTGGGTGCAGGGGGTGCTGGGCTGTGGGTGCTGGAGGAACCCGTAGCCTCCACGCCAAAGCCTTCCAGACAGGGAGCAGAAAAGCAAACGCAGGCCTGGGCTTTGCACTGGGATAATTATTGCCCTCAGAAGGAAATTTTAGCTGCGGTGAGAATCTGGGCTCAAACAGCGCAGTCTAAATCTGAAACCTCCTCCCCTCTCCGGGGAAATATCCTTCCTATTAGTTTGTTTAGCTGCTGGCAATAACTGGCTCGGCTCAATAACGAAGCGCCCCAAGCCCCAGCGTGCTGCGGCACGCGTCTCTGCTCCGTCGTCCCGCACCCCGCCTGTGCGCGAGCCGGCCCCCGGCGCAGGGCTTGCAGCAGGGGGATGCTTGCTTCAAGGCGAATTTCTCCTCCTGTTTCGACGGACCTGAAGCCCTCCGGCTCCTCTATGGAGATGGAGACATTGCTGCTGCTTGCAGAGGAAATGAGCAAAAAACATCAGCAGGGCCAGGGGCATCGTCACCCCAGCGAAGAAACCTTGCATGAGCAGCTTCTGCTCTCTGGAGCTGCAGATTTCAGCTGTGTGGCACCAAGATGTTTCCCTGAAACCACAGAAGAGAGTGGGAGCTGCTTGCTTTTCTCATGGGACGTGGCTGTGGCACAGCCCAAGTGTTGGTGCTGGGAGCTCTCGTGTCCTGTCCCCGTGCCCTGCTGTAGCCCTGGTTTGCCCACCCACTTGTGGACCACGGTGGAAAGGTGTGTTTAAAATCACAGATTACATTAGTGAATACATCAGGTGTGGGGAACAGGGCGTCAGCTTGGCTTCAACTCAGCAAATAACTAACTTGTGCAGTGCAATGGAATTACATCAGTCTCATCTGCAGGCTTCCCCCTGGGAGGTTTCTGCATGATACAGAGAAAGAGAAATTAAGAAAAAAAATAATAGATGTGATATCAAAAACTGCCAGGCTGGGGAATGAATAATCTGTGGTGCAAAGTCACTGCAATGCGATGTGCACCATGGTGGGATCGGCAGGACCAAGCTGACAGGAGAGGAGCTGCTCGCCTCCTTCTCCTCCCTCCTTGTGCCAGCGCTGGCTCCACGGGACCTGAGTGGGTGCTGGGGAGCGTTGGGGCACTGGTGGCTCCTGCCAAAAAACCTCAGTGGCTGTGGGACTGTCCCTCTGAGGAGCTGTTTCGTACAAGAGCTCAGCACTGGGGCAGGCTCCCTCCTGAAGATCCCATATCTGTGGGGCTCCATGGTGCCTGGAGGGATACGCAGCTTGCTGGGCTAAATTAGTCACAAATTCTGCTGCTTTTAGGAAAGGTTTGGCCACTGCTGCTTTGCAAACTTTGTCCTGAAAAGTCCTGTGGCTATATGATTTCAGATTGCTCGTGCCAGGCTAAGCTACATAGCCCAGATGTTAAATGCAGCACCTTTAAAAGGAAACAGTCTTTTACTTCTCTGTTTATCAAGTGTTAAACAACATCTGTGTTTCCTGCATGCCGTGTGCCAGCTGGCGAGGGTTGCCCCCGCAGTCCGCACCTCCCTGCCTGCGCCGCTGCCGGGGATTACTCACCCACCAACAAGCCATCCTGCTCCACTACTCACCTCTCCTCTCCCACTTTTCCGTAGGTTAGCAAGCAGCCGTACTGCACTGACTGAAGAGCCAGTCATGCCAGCAAGCTGGTGACCCAGCCCACGGGTTTCACCAGCGTCCCGGTGACGGAGCACAGCCTGAGCATCCGGGTGAGACGCTGGCGGGGTTACCTTGTGCCAAATGGGCTGGAAGAAGTGTGTGAGGACAAAGTTTTATAGGAGGGATGCTGTCACGATATTGGGCAAAAAGGTGAAAATACAGCTTCACAAGAGGAGAGGGGTGGTGTTTGGTTGGCAAAGGTTGGTGTGAGGGGCTTCTCGCCCGGCAGCACGGCGATGCCGGCTTTTGGGGGTGCTGTTGTGTAGCACATCCGTCCGCTGACGCCGGCCTTGCTGCTAGGAGAGAGAAATAAATATGGGAAATCATAGCTGCTTTTACCATTAAAAGGGAAATTAGCTCGTGCAGTGCTAAGCCCACAGTCTGCGGGCCCAGCACAGCCAATCTGTTTTTATTGTTTTGCGGGACTCCTCTGCACCCGAACGATGACAAATACCAGGAATTAGCTGAGTGTAATTACTCCGTATTAGCTGAATTCACAATATAGACACAGATCATAAACAGCCATTGATTATTCCTAATTCTACATTTTTAGCATTCTGAATTGCAGCAATTATGCCTGTCCGAGGGAATTAGCTTCTTTTTCACCCCCTCAGGTCCCCAGTCACTGCCCTTCCTTTAACATACTTTTTTTACTGCTGAAAAAGAGGACATTTACACAAATCCCTCCCTACATCTACAACAAAATGCATCCCCTCCTCGCCCAAGTCCCCAAATCCCTCTGGCTCTGCAGTCCCAGGGTTGCTCCTTTTGCTGCCTCGGAACGCAGCCTGGTGCTCGGTGTGATCTGCAGCCCCCAGGCCACAGCTCATCTCGCCCAGGGTCGGTGCAGAGGCAAGCGGCAGCCCTGGCTCTGGGTGCGGGTGTTGCAGGGATGCTGGCGGGACGAGGCCTGGGCAGCACCAAAGCTCGCCGTCCCTCTGCTGTTGCCGGTCGGTGCCATGCAAGCAGCCCTCGTGTTTTAACCGTCGTCTCTTTTTCGAAATGTGGTTGCAGGCCAGGACACGATTTCCCAATGCTAATTTGCACCTCCAGTGAAATCATGCTGAGGGCCTCTGTCTCCAGCCCTGTAACGACTGCGCCCTTCCCGGAGAAGGTTTATGGGAGACCCTGGCAGACATCAGCATTTTCTTGTAACAGAGCACAAGTAGTAAGAAATGAAAGTAGATATAAATTATTAATATTTGCATGGGAAATTTCTAACCCTATTAGTATCATATCATTAAATTTGATTCTTACGCATAGGCAGTGATTTCATTACAAAGCGTAGTGGAGCATAATGCCAGCTCTGCATCACGGAGTCGGCCAGTTGATGATGAGAGAGGGGAAGATCCTGTCATTTAGTGATGGAGGAGCCTTTGGGACTCTTCCTTTTACTTTGCCCCTAGTAAATACTGAGGGATGG